TGGTCCTGGTCCTGGCTAGGCTGGGCTCCAGGTTCCTGGTTGCAGTTGGGCTGGGTTCTTGGTACCAGCTGAGCTGGGTTCCTGGGTCCTGGTCCCAGCTAGTCTGGGTTCCAGGTTCCTGGTTGCAGCTGAGCTGGGTTCCTGGTACCAGCTGAGCTGGGTTCCTGGGTCCTGGTCCTGGCTAGTCTGGGCTCCAGGTTCCTGGTACCAGCTGAGCTGGGTTCCTGGGTCCTGGTCCCAGCTAGTCTGGGTTCCAGGTTCCTGGTTGCAGCTGAGCTGGGTTCCTGGATCCTGGTCCTGGCTAGGCTGGGCTCCAGCGTGCGAACGGCTCCGGGCTGCACCACATCCGCCCCACTGCGAGGGGCAGCCCGGAGCCGTCCCCGTCCCCGCCGTGACGGCAGCGGCGCTTGCACAAGCCGGGCGCGCGCGGGGCGCGTGTCGCAAGCGCCTTCCTGCGCGGGGAACCGGGGAACTCGCCCGCCCTGGGGAAGTGCGACCGGCTGCAGGGCGGCAGGAGCCGAGCGCGGCCGCGGGCGCCGCGTGGTTTCGGCCGCGCCACCACCAGCCCTCTTTAAATACCCCGGTGCGTGCCGGGAGCCGCGGGGACGAGGGGCTGCCTGGTGGCACCGTGGGGTGCTGGTGGCACCGTGGGGTGCTGGTGGCACCGTGGGACTGCCTGGTGGCACCGTGTCCCCATTGCATGCGGCTGCGACGTCACCGTCCCGGTGCCGGCAGCCACGTCCCTCCGCTCTCTGCGGCTCCCTTGCGTGCATGGGAGCTGGGCTGCAGCTCTGTCCTGTGACGCTACTGTATATATAAATATATATGTGTGTGTGTGTGTGTATATATATACATATATATATATATATATACACACACACACACGCGAGGAGCCTGCGAGCACTGGGGTGGCTCCTGGGGCCCGGCTCCCTCCTGCCGCACCGGCCACGACGGCTTGTGGTGCAGCGCAGCGGGGTGCACATCCATGCAGCGTCGCACTGAGCTCTGCGATGCCGTGCGGTGCAGCAGCCTGCRAGCAGCAGGGCAGGGTGCAGGGCAGAGCCGTGCAGTGTGGCGCAGAGCAGCGCAGCACAAGGGACAGGGCCAAGCAATGCAGCGCAGTGCAGCACAGAGCGATGCAGGGCGGTGCCGTGCAGTGAAGTGCAGTGCAGTGTGTCAGAGCAGTGCAGTATGAGGTGGTGGAGGGCAGTGCCACGCAAGGTGCAGTGCAGTGCGGTGCAACACGGAGTAATGCAGCGCAGCATGTCACATGGTGCAGTGCAATGCCCAGCGGTGCAGGGGTGCAACACGGTGCAGGGGCCGGAGCCGCTGCCTTCGCTCCTGCAGCCGGGCCCCGCATGCAGCGCGGGGGTTCCCTCCTCCTGCAGCGCGTCTCCATGCACGAGGACGGGGTCCCGCTCTGCACTGGGGCTGCGGCGCTGTGGGGCAGCAGCCGCTGACACCTGTGGGTTGCAGACCCCAGATGCAGACCCCACCGCCCGTCTCTGTGTGCAGGGGGTGCTGCAGCCCCCGCGCAGACCCCACCACCCATCCCCACATGCAGGCAGTGCTGCAGCCCCCGCTGCCCATCCCCATGCAGGGGGGTCTTCAGCCCCCATGCAGCCCCTGCCACCTGTCCCCATGGACAGGGGGGTCTTCAGCCCCCATGCAGCCCCTGCTACCTGTCCCCATGCACAGGGGGGTCTTCAGCCCCCATGCAGCCCCTGCTACCTGTCCCCA